TAATAATGATAATAGTAATAATAACCACAATATTGTTCTTCAGATCACTCTGAAAGCGATCCCACCGGTATCGTTTGCCACTGTCATCGTCGTTATTGTTGTGGTGCGGACCAGAATTTGCATTAAACGATTCACTATTCTAGTATTGTAACTGAAGCCCTGTTCAGATCAGACCTCCTCCTCCATCAACTGATCCTACAGGGAAAAAATGCTAACTCTCTTCCCAGTCTTTCATGCTCTAACCTGGACTGCGCAATTATATTTTAGCTCGCACCACCTCCACAGGGTCAGTCAGGGAGCTCAGCAGCCTGGAGCTGGAGGAGTCTTAATCAAGGATGCTCACCAACACGGACTGAAGGACAAACACCATCCTCAGCATGACAAAAAAAAATGTTTGTTTGTCTGATGTGTTGCCCAGTTACTCCTGTAAAGCGCCGGCTTTTCATGTTGAGGCGTTTTATTCCTGTTTTCATCCAACTTTCAGCTCCTCTCAGGCTTCCTGTGATGTTCTCTCTTGTGGGAGCAGCATTGCTTTTACAGTCACTTTGTGTGTGTGTGTGTGCGCATGCATGCATGTCAACATCTGTAATACAAGGTTAGCCCTGACAAGTGCAGGTTACATTGGGACAGCTGTTAATCTGAGTTGCCACGGAAACCTTGGCACAACCTCTGGGCAGTGGAGCGATCAAACGGAGCGAGGGAGGTGCTGTAGGAGGGGAGAGGGCGCAGGCAGGATGAACACGAACATAAACATGAACATGAACAAAGAATGAACAGGAGTCAGTGGGCAACAGCAAATCGCATATTTGTTGACTTTGTTTCTTTTATTGATCCATTTTTTATCATTATCGGTGGATTAATTATGACGGTATTCTGTGTGGTTAATCCTCGAATACCTTCCCCTTCTCAGGCCTGAGATGTAACTGAATAAACAATGAATAAAACAGGAGATTGCACATAAACTCCACTGCCCTGTACGAGTGAGTGAACTGCTTTGAATTTTATTATTAGTCTGAACCAATTCCATGTGATTCCTTTTATATTCCTCCAGGGAAGCACGTGTCCACGGCGGAGGAATCAGTAACGCTGGACAACGGAGGTTTCACTGCTCTGGAGCTCAACAGCAGAACACTCAACACCAAGAACTCCTTCCTGAAGAAGAACGGGACCAGGTGTGCACTCACTCATTCATACACACATACACACACACACACACACACACTTTCCTGGAGCTGTTGGAGTTATGTAGTTATTTGTTCTTTTAGATGTTACATCTATTATTAATCTGTGTGTGTGTGTGTTCGTCCAGGTCTCCTCCCAGGCCCAGTCCAGGTGGTCTTCACTACTCTGACGAAGACATCTGTAACAACTATAATGGAGCTGTGCTCACTGAGAGCACCACACTCACAGAGAAACCCACTGAGGTCTCTGAGTCAGAGGTATCTCTCTCCAGCTGTTTCTCTCTCTTATTCCTCTTCTCTCAAATTCCAAAAGATTTATGGCCTGAAAGAAACCTGCTGTTAACAAGACATTTGTGTTACTTAAAACCAGTACAACACACCACAAACAGGACGTCCTCACGGCCAAAGAACACTGACTATGTAATCTCAGGATTGCTGGACCTTTGTTGCATGGCATTTCTGTACTGTTCCCTACTGAATAAAAGCAAAGATGCCAAACACACACACACGCACACGCACACACCACAAATATTAGCACAAAAAAATCAACAAATAATCACAGAAATAAGCACTCTTGTTTTTGTCGATTTTACTTACTTTAATGTAAGATCATTTCAGACTCATTCATTTGAGTCATCACTCCTCGACTTAATGAATTTGTAATCCCACCTCTAGGGCTTGGAGGGGGGGGGTGGGGGTTGCAGTCATTGGTCAGCGCCCTAACCCATAGGCCATTAGTTCAATTTTGAATAATAGATTTAGCACAAAAAAAGACCAATCTGATTCAACAATCGTTTCATACTCTTGGAGAATGGATATGTTTGATAGAAAGTTATTTGAAAGTAGAAACTGAGTTCTTTGTACAGTACAGTAGGGCTGTCGCGGTGAAGGAATTTCCCCTGTGGTGATTTAGGGTTGCTCAACAGTGCGGTTTGAGGTATTGTGGTATTGTTTTTGCTTTCATTTGTTTCACCTCAGTACCTGTTTGTACTAATCACCTGCGCTCTCACTCCTCCTGCCTCCTGGCTGTGTGACGCTGTTAACTGGCGACTTTCAGCCTAATGAAGTCACCAGTTAATAGGGTTACTTGTTAAACCAAACACTGGCAAGCCCCAGGATGCAAACACTAAAGAATACAACACTGCTGGTGTTTCCAGTCTGAGTTTTCCAGAGTGAGTGAGTCGGAGGCTAGAAGACTTTCTCCTGTGTGTTATTGTAATCCTGGACTGTGAACTGAGGGATACTGAGTAGCACTGTGTTTCAGACAGCGCTTCTGCTGTGTCGAAACTCTTCAGCCTCAAAGCTCTGCAATGCTTTCCTGCTTTAAAAAACAAATACGGAACATGACGTCACGTGCGGTTGTGTCGGTGGCTTGTCAATAGCATTTCATTATTGCGGTTATTGTGAAAGCCCTACTGTACAAAGAACAGAGCTGACTGTTTTCAGCCTGTGGTGTTGCTGGTGAAAGAAGCAAAGAAAAGTTGGATCTGAAAGCTAAAAAGGAACTACATTAAATGGCGAAAATCACAGCGCCTCCACTTCTGAATTGGCCAAAGGGCAGCAGATAATAGTTTAGAAGTGCCATCTAAGAAGTATACCATATAATCTTTGTGTCTTCAGTTCAATTCAAACCTTTCCCCATGTTTCCTGTCTGTCTCTACTGACAAAAAATAATCTTTAAAAAACTGAAAGCAGTGCTCAGCTACAGATGCTTTAGACCTTCATGTCAGCACTTCCCTGTGTTATGTGCCTGTGTCTCACAATCTAACCCATGTTGTGTGTTTTTGTATCCAGTTAACAGACAGCGACTATGAGGACGAGCAGCCCAAGCACTCCTTCGTCAACCACTACATGAGTGACCCCACGTACTACAACTCCTGGAAGCGGCAGCCCAAAGGCCTTAAAGGGATCGGCGCTCCCTTCGCCTATGAGGAGTGCGCCACTGCAGAGACGGAGCCCTACTACCAGACCGTGGTCACCCAGCACAGCACAGGCGGCGCGTATACACCCACAGGGCAGCCTGCACACACGCACGTCAACCCAAACACCAACCCGCCGGGGTCACGCACCCCTGTCACGGGATTCTCCTCTTTTGTTTGACTCTAGAGACAAAATCTGCACAAAATGATACACACACACGTACACAAAATGAAGGAGTGGGGCCGGTGTGTGTTTGGACTAAAGGAGACAGAGCCGGCGGCTTCGGAGGAGAGGGGAGGACGAGATGAGGAGACGTAGGACGGACTGGTGATGAAACAGCCCTTCATGCCCCAAAGAACTAAACCTACACTTCTCACTCGCCTTCTCCCCTCGTTCACAAAGATCCTCACTGTGTCGACGAGTGTGTGTGTGTTGCTCTCCTACTCTTTTACGCCTCTGTGTCACTGTGCTTAAACACACAGTTACTGTTCTCGTTTCCACATACACACACACACACACACACACACACACACATTCACACCGGCGTATACCACCAGATATTCATGCCTATTCTAGAGACTCTCGAGCAAGAGCTAAGAGCAATGACTACATGATGCAGTTTGTGTAAATGTCGAGGAGAGAATTCAACCTCGAAGTGGTGGAACCTGAAACGTCTGCACAACGCTTCTTCTCTTGTTTTCTGTATTTACACATAAGTGCACAAATACACACACATGTACTCGCTGATGCACCATTTCAGCATCTCAAGGTTGAGGAGAATTATTAAACGACGGCACAGAAGGAAGCAGCTTTTTTGTTTACAGGCTGGTTCGTGTACACAGACACGGAGCTGTCAGCTTTAAAATACCACGACACAGAGGAAAAGAAAAAAAATAACAATCAATAATCACAGTTTATGAACTTGATAAAGGACGGAGAGTGGAGAGTGGGCGGGGGGGTCTTCAGAACGTAAGGCATTCTCAGAGAGAGGTTTGTGTGGTTTCTGAGAGCGATATGTGATGTTTGAGGTTTGGGTTGGAATATATGAAAACCATGTTTTTTACCGTCTACTGCCTGTTGTCAGCGCTCCTTACCGCAGCCTCCCAAGCCATAATGCTTGCACTGAGCCAAACCCCCACACATTTCATCTTAATTATGTTGAAATTAAGTTTTTGAGTGTGTGCGTTTGAGAGTGACACACACAAGCATGTGTGTATAAATGGCTTTATGCTCAGTTTAGAAGTCTGTTCATCTGTCCTCCGTTGTTCACTGCTAAGCAAAGCGTGCCATTGTATGTATGTTTGTATTTTTGAGAAGGATTTTGTACAGGGAAGCCGTTTTTACTTGTGTGCTGTTGTACGTAGTTCGGCCATGTTTGTGTTATTCAAAGCAATTAGAGAAACAGCACCGGAGCAAAAGGAGGAGACGGAGTCACGATCGTTTAGTAAGAATCATAAAGCTGCAGTGAGAGTGTGGAACAGGACTACAGGATATTTAGAGAATCCTGCTAATTCAAGCTGAGTGCGATTGAACTTTGACTCGTAAGGCCCCACTGTCTGTACCCTGGCTTCCCCTCCAGCAGCCGGGCTGACACACATGTACTTTGTACCTCTCTTGAAGTGCAAACAGGAAAAAAAAACTCATCTGTAAGGTTTTTGCTCATGTATAATTTAAAGATTCTCCTCCCAGCAGCCTCCCTCACTCTGTCACGCTTGTTTTGAGTCCCAAACAGTGTGTGAATAAATGGTCATTGTTTAACCATGTGTCTCTGTGGTCTGTTTTAGTACTGGGACAGCGAACATGTCACTTTGGATCGTCACCTACATTACATTAACTGAATTAAAGATGTGCCTTGATATTTTGTAACTTGCTGAACTCTCTTAACCGGGCCTGTGAGCATTGTTTGTGGCTTTTATTGAAGTAGGAAGGGGGGGCAGAGCTTTATCAGTTGTTGTCTATTAATTATTATCTATCCATCTGTGTTTTTCGGTGTGTGAAGGGCCTGTGTGATACTCTTCTCTGAATAAAGCTGTACATTTCATGAAACTTGATAAAAAAACAGTTATGTAAGAGATAATTCAACAGAGGCAAAGTGCATTCGCTTCAATTATGGTGTCATACATTATCACATTAATGGTTGATTCAACCAAAATACAAAAAAAACCTAAACAGATATTTTCTCATTTATCTCTAATGTAGCGATGCAGATGTATTTATTTGTCCAGATTTGAAAGTATTTGACTCTGAGATTTCTGCCACTTGCTCAGTATTCAAACATTTTGCTTAAAAATTCTGCAATATATGTATGTGTATCTTTTCAGAATCAATTCACTTCAGTCCTCCCCAGTTGGTTGTGCAACATTAAAACATATAAATAAATATTAAAGACCTGACCCTTGAAAACATGGATTACAATCACTGCTCTCATCAGTGAATACTCTAACAGTGGTTTGAGCAAGTAGCCCCCAAATGCTGAAAATAGAATTACACTGCTTGTGTTAATATGTTTTTTTACACTTTAATACTTTAAAAACTTAAAGTTAATACTTTCAGACACAGGCCTTTCTTGTTCCACCACAAAGTGCAGGTAAATACTTAATAGGTGGCTTGGGACTCTAATAACTGACACACTAATCAGCCAAACAATCATTAATGCTAATGAAAGTCATCAGTGGACTTAAATGTTACGTAATGTGATTATATTAATCATATTTCATTATTTTCATTCCACCTATTTAAACCTTGTGATACCACCAGTGTGTCATGTTACTGAGACAATGAGATTTACCCTCCTGAAACCTTGATGAGGAAAATGTTTGTTCCCGTGGTCGACAGTAATAGTAATGACTAGTTACTCAGCTATAATGAGCTTATAAATCATGCATTGTTTCACAGTCCATTAAATTACCCAGTAGTGAATGTTAGTTGATATTACAGGAGCTCTACCTCAAGCAGCAGCAATATGAATGTTGTTTACAATCTAATCCAATAATATATTTTTTAAATATGTAAAACACTGACAGTGCCCATTCTGCTGCATAACCTAATGAGGGCTTAAGTACATTTTGCCAATAAAACTTTTACCAGAGGTAATAGCCTTTACTTGAATAAAAGATCTAAATACTTACAACTATATACAACTAATTAATATAAAGTAATTTAACCAGTGACATAATTAAGTAGGTCTACATTTACTCAAATAGGAGTATTTCCATTTTCTGCTATTTTATACTTTTACTCCCCTACATGTCGGAGACAAATGTTACTCCTCTGCATCTGTTTGAGAACTGTAGTTTTGTAGATTAAGATTTAAAGCATATAAAAAACTACTAATATCAGTATTTAAAGTAGTTTAAATTAACTGGACGACATTTAAATGGAGCCTATATGTTAATCGACCTGTAATAATAACACAATAATGCAACAGATAGGCTACCATTTAACATTACATTTTGCAGTTTTTATTGTGATATACTACTTTTACTGTCTGAGTTACTGAATACAATAGTGATGGGTCGGTCGCAAACGATCTGGCTCTAAGAGCTGGCTCTTTGAAGTGAACGACGGGATCCGGCATCTGATTGGGAGCCAGATCCGGATTTTTTTCCGGTATTTTTCCCGTTTTTTTCTGTTAAAGCCGTGTGATTGGTCAAGATGTGTGGC